ACTGGGAGTATTTTCTTTTGTACAAAATAATTATTTAGAATGCATTAAAAGCTATAGTGCACTCTGAGAATATCAACGTATCTATGAAATTTTGTAGCATTGGTCAGATTACAAGAGAACAGATGCCAAACTGCTAATGTAAAATTCTGTAGAGTTGATGGAAGCCAAGGTTTTGCTTTAGGTAAGTTAAAATAATTAGATAGTATTCTCTCTATAATGTAATATTTCATTAGTTTTGCACAGTATTCAGAGATTTTGCCTATTTAGTAATTGGAAAGAAGTTCCTAATTTCTACATAAAGATTAGCAGGATCATCTGGAAGTGGTTCGAGAATAGTGAAAAAGTAACTGTTGGAAAGTTTTTCGAAAGTAAAGATTTTTCATAGGGCTAATACAGTTGCTCGAGTAAATTTGTGATTTTGAATTGGTAAAGGAAAAGGAAGAATCTGCTGAATAGATAGATCAATCTCAAGTAGATCTTGTAGTAATAAGATAAGTAATGCTGTATAGGTCTTGTTGATCAAACTTTGTAACTTTTTGAAACTGAGAGTACAATTTATTTGAGCAAAGTTAAGACAGTAAGTAATTATTCTAGTGCAATTGTGTAGGCTATTGGTCAGAAAGTCTGTATTGTATAGTTATCCTCCTTTACAGTCACCTCCTATATAATCACATCCTTTTTATAAACACCATTTTTTGAAAAATTATTTGCAATATATTTACTAAAATAACTCCATATAATCACATTACTATTAAAATTTTATAATCATATTTTTTTTATATAAAACAAACAGCGTGATTATAGAGGAGGATGACTGTATATAAAGTTTATTGCCAGTTTGGCTTTGAGTTTTGCGAAGCTCTGGTCTTTATTATATTTGTTTATAAAGCGAATATTGTGTAGTCTTTTATATTTTTTTACTTCTATTTGTAAAAGTGAATTGAATTCTTTTTAGTACTGTGGTTGGGTTTTTTTGTTTCTTGTAAATGATTGAAGGAATGCTGCATTCAGATATTCAAATTTTGTTTTGATTGCACTTGGTAGATTGTATTGGGTTGGATTGGTTTGAATTTTGTATTGAAAAAATTTTAGAAGCAGCTTAAGAGATAAGAAGATATTAATTATTGTGTCATTGCTTCAGACTGTTGTGTCAAAGTCCTGTGTGCATGCTTTCGCTAGTGCAATAGTAACTGAGTTACACCAAGTAACTGATCGGTTATTCTTGATGTATTTCTTTTTTTGGAGGTTGGAGGTAAGTATACTACTATATAACTTCTTTAAGGGTGCAAAAGATTCGATTATTGCATTAGATTGGACATCTATGTGATTGTCTGGGTTCTCGTTTACTCAGGTTGGTTGTGTGAGTTCATTAGAAGTTGGTAGTTGTTAGTCTGGATTCTAAAGATTGTCTTGGGTAAGATCTAGAAATAGGTCAGGTGTGTTGTGATAATCAATTTCCATACTTGTAGTCCAGAGTCTTGAGGTATTTACATTATTTTTCATGCTTGTCTGTTTGTTTTGTTTATTTCTCATGCTGTCTTGTTTGTTTGGATTATTTCTCACACTACCTTGTTTGTTTGGATTATCCCCCACATTTGTTTATTTGTTTTGGTTAGATAATGTCATAGATAATTTTACAGGAGTTTGCTAAATTTCCCACTTTGGTCTAAATTTTGTGAATCACTATGTGGTAAAGTAGTAGTGGTGGTGTTGAATGTAGTATTAATTTTATTTATATGTTTAGGGGCTGTCTTTTTCTTCTTTAGAGGTGGTGGATTGTCAGGTTTAGTAGATTTTTGTTCCATGAGTTGGTTGTTTGAGGTCCCAATAGGATCCATTAGAGTGTAGTTAGAAGACGTTAGAGGAATAAAGAAGAGTTTGAAAGCTTCAGGGGGTGGAAAGTAGTGTGTTTCTATCTCTCTTTAGCTTTGTGTAGGTATTGTTAGGGTCTCTTATACAATATTTAGAAGGCCAAAGGCCAAAAAACCTATATAAACTATTTGTATTCGTAAATTTGCAAATGTTTTCTTTTTGATTTTTGTTGTTTTGATGATCTACAGGAAAGAGTAATAATAAATATAATAGTTAATATATATAATATAATAGATAAATATAAAAAATATATATAAGAATTTAAGTTGGAAATATTTAATTTTTTTGTAATTTTAGGGTACAAATTATCTAAAACATGTATAAAAAGATTTGGGATATTGGGGTAGTAAAGATTAGCTAAAAAAGATTATAATATAAATGATAGACTTTGTATAAAATTGGTTATCAGAATAAAAAATATAAAAGGAAAATTAATATTTCCATAATATAAGGTTAATTTGGATAAATTTGGAAGTAGCCAGATGTTATACAAAAATCGTGTATAGTAAAAAGAATAAAAGAAAGACAAAAATAGTTGTAAAAAGTAAGTTAAAGGGAGTTAAGATATTTTAAAAAATAACTTAATAAGTTTTAATACTATAGAGATGAAATATAGCTTGTTATGACAAGAAAAGTATATAAAACAAACTTTACTAATTTATGAAAAGAGGTTTAGAATAAGGATAATAAGAAAATAGCTAAAGTTTAAGTTTTTGATTTTAAAGACTTTTATAAAGTTTATTTTACAAATATAAAAGCTATTGACTTAAGATTTGAAAGTATATATATTTTGAAGTAACAGACAACTTTTGTTAATATAACAAATTAGGTTGACTTAGTAAAATTTTAAGAAAATAAGTGTTTTTTTTTAGGCGAATTTAAAAAAAATTATATATTAGAGATTTGCAGAAAGAGTATTAGTACCTATTTAATAATTTATATATATAAATCTATCTCTTTAATATATAATTAGAGTTTTTATAGCTTTAAAGTTTAAGAGTTTGAACCCAAATATAAAAAATTATTATCCAGATAAAATTGTATATAAGATAGATATAAAAAATAATTTAAACTATGATTTTAAAAATTATAACTATTTTAATATTAATATATTTTAATTTATTAAATCATATTTACAGTATTTATAATTTTATAATTATATAGATTTTTTTAAAATATGTATCATAAAAGGCTTTTATTAAAAAAAATTATATAAATATTGTAAGAAAAAAAATAAGATTTTTTCTTTAAATCTAACTACTAAAAGCACTACAGATATTAAATTAATAATCAAAAGCAATAGTTCTAGTTTTAACCAAATTTTAGTCTTAGTATTAATGTTTTAAAAAGTCTTTTTAAAATTGTTTTTTTTTTCTATCTCTAATATTAGGTACTATACACTATATTTAGTACAAAAGTGATTTAGTTTGTTTTTTAACTATTCTAATATTATATATATATTTTTTATTTATAACCAATCTTACAAATTTTATTGAAATATTATCTAGGTTTAAACTTTTAAAACATTGTTAATTTTTACAAAAGAATAACTAATATAATAAAAATTTAGAATTTTCTTATAAATAAGATGCTAAAATTCAATTGTTATATACTAGGATCTATTGAAAAAATTTTAATTTTTATAAATTATTAAATATAACAATTAAAGATTACTATTTTTAGTATTATTAGTTCTAACAAATAGTTTTTAGTATAAAAAGCTATTTAAAACTGTAAAGTTAACAATACAAATTTAAAGTGTTTTCAAGTTGTATTTATATATCCTAGTTATATCAAGTTGCTAAAAATACTTTTTGTAAATTAAAAATAATTAAATATATATTTTAAAATTTAATTTAACTATATATTAATTTACTTTTTAAAAATTTTTTATTATATATACAGTTTTATTAAAAAAATGATTTAACTATTAAGTCTATTAAAGCTTTAATACAACAATTATTAAATGCCAAATATCCAATACTTAACCTAATACACGTCACTCTGGTTATACTGACACCCTCTAGCAATAAGAATTTTGTTGATATATCCAGATGTCAGTAGAACAAGTATCTCTTTCTATATTGATATCATAATAGTATTATATGAAAATATCAATTAAGTAAGTATAAAATACAATTTCATTAAATTTAAGAATTGAATAAAAGTATCGATATGCTAATTGTAAAAAATATGCATATTATAATGAACATGAAGTATAGTTACAATCAAAGAATAGAAAAGGTTATTAGCGATTGCATTACATTCGATAGACTAGATAGTGTTAAAAGAATTGAAGAACTTAGCTTACAATCTGGTTGTGAACATTAATAATAAATATAAAAAATCTTTGTATAATCATTATTTGTATGTTTTATTAAATATATATAAAACTAATACATTTATATAAATTTATAATCTTATAAAATGCACGTAAGGTAGACTTAATATATAAACAGATTAACACTTTGTGGAATTTTAACACACTAAAAATTTAGGTAGTTTAGAAAAAGAAATGATTTAGAGGTTATATTTATGAAGTTATGCTATATATCTCTTCGAAAGTTTTATTAGACCAAGAGTTTATACCAGACACAAATATGTTATCAATCAGATAATAAAGATCTGCTAAATTAAAAGTACTTCCATTCTACTCTTGTTAATTTTCACATATTTTTATTTAAACTTTTCTATCACTCTTATTACATTGCATATCTAGAAAATTTTAGAATTTGATTTATTTAATTTATACCTCGATTATTAATAGTATATAGTAAGATATAGTAAAAATCAGATCTGAAATTCTCTTACTTAAAATTATACTGCAGCTTCTTTATGATACCCTATTTCTTATATAATTTAATTATCAAAAAAAAAGTATATCTACAATATAATACGGAACAAAAAAAAAGAATAAAGTAGAACAAAAAAAAATAAAGTAGAACAAAAAAAAAAATAATGTAAATCAAAAAATACATAAAATTTCTTTAATCTAACAAAAAACAAATTAGTTTTTTATTAGAAAAAAAAATAGATATCAAAATTTTCAATAAAATTATTCTCTAATAAAAAAACAAGTCTAATTTTGTTTGTTGTAAATTCTTTTTCACTAGATAAGCAAGCTCTTTTCATATTTGCTTGAGTTCTGAGAAAACTTTAATATCAATCTTAAAACTTGACTCTGGTTGTTCAATATAGCCTAATACTGAATCCAATTCTGTAATGGCTTGAATTGCTGTAACAGGTTTAATTTGCCGTTCTGGTTCTTCTTCAGACTCATTTTCTTGTATCTTTGCTATAATATCTTTGACCGTAAGCATTTTACCTATTGTATAATTATTCTCAATTTCAATAAATTCATGTGTAGTAATATTTAAGCATTCAGGATTTTCAGAATTTTTTGAATTTTGAAATCATGTAATGAGATTTTCTAACTCCATTTCTTCTTCATTAGTTAAATCAACAAGAGATTCTGAATCCATAAATTCGTCAATTTCTGTAGAATAAAGAATACCTGTTTTTTGCCAAGAATGAATAATTACATCTTCAGAAACTTTATTCCACGCTTGTGAAACAAATTGAATTGCATTATAAATTGTAACAGGATCTGGAGGTTGATTAGTAAGGTTCGATTCATCAAATGTGGCAATTCGGTTTTGTAGTAATAACTTATGATATTGACACTATAAGTGCCTAATTTACAAATTTGTATAGTGTTACTATAATTATATGAGAATATTAATAACATAAGGAATATGTACTAACTTTAAATAAATAGATTATGCCTGCATCACATGGTTGTAACCAGTGTTGTACATTTTGGCTGTCCAAAGCCTTTTTTAATTTGTCCATATCCAAAATTGTCCAAGTGTCCAAGATTGTCCAAAGCTTGTCTAGGCTTTAATAATTAATAAATTTATC